TGACATATGATACGTAAGCTTTTCATACATATAAAGCTAATTTTGATTGGTTCATTTTTAGCCCCGTCAATTTTCATGTCAAATCATGCTTCATGTCCCATTTTAGAAGCCCGACCCAGGGTTTTGTGCCAGCTAGCCGTGTATGGTGTTAATTAATGGGTCAAAATAGGCCTTATGTGCTTACAGTTTCCACAGGACAACAGAACTGATATTTGATACCTAAATATTCATATTATGATCGTAAAATGATGAAAATAAAATTACACAAAACAATAACTGGGTGAACAGATAAAATTAACGAAGTTAACCCATCCTCTCTAAATATTCTTATCTCACTCATTAGCACCCCTCTCTTCAACTATAATGCTCAAACAAATTATTTATCAAGTAAATGCTTTATGCGTCAGCATCCGAAGTTATTCATTCGTTTGTGATTATGCAATGCAATTGGAGAGGGAGGGGGAAAATAAACGGTGAAAAAATAACAAAATCAGCCCATGGAAGGAAACTATAGTCTAGAATAATATCCTAGTCACTATAGTGAATAGGATGAAAAAGTTAAAGTAAAAGTTAAAGTTAAAGTTAAAGGAAGAACTTGAAATCGAAAAAAAAAAGACTGTACTATTAAAAGAAGATACAAAATGAAAATCAAGAAACAAATAAGAGAAAATAAGAAGAACGAATCTAAAATAGGAGGAACATAAGTAAAGTGGAAAGAAAGAGAAGGAGAACAAGGAGAACTCTATTTTGTCCATATTTTATTTCGCTTCATTTAAACTTAAATTGGGGAACAGTTACAAGAACTTGACTAAGGCCCAATTATTAAAACAGCTATATCGTAATTGTGTCTGAAAAAACAAAAAACAAAACATTTTATCACTTATGTTAGACTGCGTTTCAGAAAACCCAACTTTGTTTACTCTGAAAAATGTTTGAATATAAGAAAAGATGATCTATAGATGAAAATGGGTTATTCGCTTATCTGCCGATACTAAAAGTCAGACTCGCATAACGAATTTCTTTTCTGAAGTCAAGTAAAAGTAGTAACAAAAATCATTTTTTGAGAAACAAATGACTCGGGGTTTGTCGGATAAATAACGGCATTGCCCGACATGTATCGCTTGATACACGTTAACTTTGTGTCTATAATATACGGTCATAATGTTACTGGTCATACTCATACCGTAGTTCGAGGACTCATAACGTTGGTAATTCTCAAATTCTCAATCTGGCAACGGATCTAAGGCCTTAAATTGCTTAGATGTTGACAATAACGAGAAATGAGACGCACAATCGACCAAAATTCGGCAAAAATTGGCTGAAAAGGCAGAGAAAAGTATAGTGAATAAACACTACGAGAACAATATAGATATCATTGTGAGGAATGTAAACAAAAATTGCTAGGATATTCAACATAATTATTATATTATACGCGCATTTAATGCGCTTATTTTTCACATTGCGCATGCGCTCGAATCTATGACGAAACAATACTAGTTCACGTGATGATCTCTTGTTACTATGCTTATTTTATGTCAGAGACATGTACAAAGGGAGGGGGAGGGAGGGGAGGTGCCAGATTACCTCAGAAAGCTAACATATGGATTAATTAATCCATTAATTACAATGAGCACTAAATTATTTTGGGGGCCCTCGAAAATTAGAAAAATCGCACCCCCCCTCCCCCCGTGAGCGCCAGGGGAGGTGGCCCATCTACAGAAAAAGGTCAAATTAACGTGTTTTTAAACGTTTTTTCCCTCAGGGGAGGGGACCCGGGTCCGTCACTGGCCCTTCAACCATGAGGAGGACGACGATATCGTCAAAGGCCAGAGTGGAGACAGAGCAGACAGTCGTCACCATGCATAGTATGACGACGATCTTAGAAACCAGCTAGAATCAACCTGGGTCAGTCGAATCTCTCGACGAACACGACAAGGAATGCGACAACAACAACGAAGAAAGAAAGCGTATGTATCCTACACATAGGAGCACATTTTTTTTTTGTCCCGAAAATTAAAAAAATTGACCGATCGATATTTTGTTCAGTTAGGGGGGAGGGGTAGGGTCACCTGTTTTGGGTCACTCATTAGCACAATTTAAAAAAAAGAAGAAAAAAAGAAGAAAAAAGTGGGGTTCCTCCAAAACACACAAAAAAAAAAAAAAAAAAATTTGAAGGGGGAGGGTCGACCCCCACCCCCATCCCCCTGCGTACGCGCCTGTATTCTTATACAACAAGTTGAGAAAGGAGGTCTCAAAATGGTTAATGCCAAATCCGTAATCTTGCCACAACATTTAAACTTAGATTTTTTTTAGAATGAAGAGTGGAAGCAGTTAAGCTTGGTTTAGTATTTTTAACTATTCTGCAATCGTCACACGGAATTGTGTTAAATGTAAACAAAAGGAATGGTTGAAATGCAAGAATACCGAGGGTAAAATTTGATGTTTATTAATTAAAAAATGCACATAAGATTTTTGATAGAGCGGTCAGGAAAGCTAAAAGAGCTAACCAGTTTAAAACTAATAAATACTCTTGATGCCATGGTAAATAAAGATTGTTCATTATGGAAAGAGATTGGTCGAATAGGGTCAGATAATAATAATAATAATAATAATTGGATTTATATAGCGCCTTTTCCAAAGGTTACAAGGCGCTGCTCTCCTAGACTTTCGACAATTTAAGAGGAGTTGTACAGGTAATTTTTCAGATGTTTTTTGAAGAAAAAAACTAGTGAAGTATACTGTTTCTTAAGAAAGAGGGGAGTTTGTTCCAGAGACGTGGGGCTCAGTAAGGACTGAAAGGATTTGAAACCAGTCTGTTTACGGGATTTGGGAATGACAAAGGTAGGAGCTGATGAAGACCTATAAGGGAATAGGATGTTCTCTGTTGCTGAAAGACTGAGGAAATGTATACAGGAAGGGTGGTCGACATAGATTTGAAAGTTTGAACAAGATGAGAAAAGAAGTACCAGAATATACCAATGGTATAATTAATTAATGACGATCATGGAGAAAAAAAGTGAAGACTATGATAATGCTATAAGTAAATGGGAAATTTTCATTCTCTGTTTAAAGATAATGGCAGTGGTTTCGATGATGGGTTCTTATCACTATTAACCATAGAGATATATACTACTAACATAACACACAGATGAAAAGCTTAAAATGTACTTTTCAAGAATCTCATATTAGAGGAAATGATTTAAACCTTCCCATTGAATTAAGTGAGGTGACTGCAACCGTATAAAATGAAACAAAGCTGCCTGGAATAGATGGTATCGTTTCGGAGTTGGTAAAAAATACAATGCTTCAATACAGTTCCTTCATGCCCTCCTTTCTTTTTGTATACGTGGTATTTCTCCCTATACAGCTTGGCAAAAAGGCATAATCCATGAATGAACCTGAACCATTAAGCTACAGAGTTATAACTATGATATCGGTCAATATGTACAGATCAATGAAGGCTCGAACTTCACGATTCCTTAATTCCTTTGTCCCGCTTTCCATTCGTAAATACAATGAACAACTCCAGTCAAATTAAATAAGCCTGTGCCACTTCGCTATTCATCAATTGCATTGTACCCTTTCCTTTTTAACCAAAATGTACCAGTATCACGAGCAAATAAATAAATAATACCTATATGATATCATATGTTATTTCATGTTTTAGTTATATACCGTTTAATTAATATACCGTTTAATTTATGAAGAAAAATATAACCGTGACAAATAATGATACGTGTTATAAATACTGTTGATAATGATGATAATAATAATAATAATAATAATAATAATAATAATAATAATAATAGTAACAATAATAATAACGAAAGATAATAACAATACTTTTTCCGAATCCTACGCAATCGTACATTTTCAATAGTGTTGTGAATCGATTTATTAATTTATCCTATTTTCTTATATTGTTCCACTATGTAAAAACGATATACATGTATATCCGTGTTATATCATTGTACATTTGTTACTGTGTATTACCTATTTGTGTATATTATTTTCTATTGGATATTGTTCATGTGCTTTATGTAATGCCAACAACTGAATTTCCAAATGGACCAATAAATTTATCTGGATCTGAATCTGAATGTAAGATTTTTTGGTGATATCATAAAAGAAAACGAACTAATTTCCTTGAAAAAGAATGTATTATTAAGTAATAACAGAATGGATTCCGTAAGAAAATAGGTTGCCTCGACCATCTGTAGGCTACAGTCTTATACATATTTTACCTTTAGCTAATCTTACAGATGATTTTTTTTTAAATATGTCATCAGCATGTAAATTATGGAAAATTCAATCTTTGACGAAATAAACTTATAACCTATCATAATTTTAAACAATCTATGAGCACCTCAAAATAGACCAAACAGACGTGCTTTGGCTTTGTTTAGATGCGGTCGTGCCCAAAATGTTCCATATGAAGAAAAATACTGTGTTCTTTGTAATTCTAGTAACATGCAGACGTAAGAAAAAGTTCCTCCTTTCTGACTGGGGCTACCCCACACCGCTGTATAGCCCCCCATCCGCCCCCGCCCCTCCCATAAAAAAGTTATGAATTTTGAAAATCAATAACTTTCATATTTCTTCTCCGATTTTTCTCAATCCAATCCAAAAAGATATTTGATATAGTGCCTTTTCCTTGCAGTTACAAAGCGCTGCACACACGCTCCACAATGTTTGGGCCACTTAAAAACAGAAGTTAGACCCCGGAGTTTGACACTTAATTCTCCGAGATAGGACAAGTATAAAGTAGGCTGGTAATAAAGAAATTTCAGAATAGATGTCTTCTAATTTTTTCTCCTTGTATTAAGACAATTTATTATCAAGGTGGACTTCCCCTTTAATCACATAGATTGCCTTAATGCTTGAACTCGCTTTATAATAGTGGTTGATTTTATTTGCCATTTATATTTAGTTTTTGTTTAAATAATATTTTTGATCGGTCGGCCCTCAACGTTTGTTTTGTGTATTCATTAAGCAATTAGGCGTTGCTATGAACGCTTCACGGCTAGTTTTACACTGAGTGAAAATATAACCGAAGTAAATTGCGAGTTGTTTTCATTATTTAAACATTACAATTAGTGCAAAATACATGGCTCTCGTACCAAAAGGGAAAGGTGATGCGGACTGGAGTAAGAGAGATAGACAGAAAACCCGTCATAATGGTACGTCTAATCTACGTTTCTTGTCTTTACATTATTGTTCAGTCCCATGTGCTTATTTACTTGTGTGCTGTGACGCGTATATATTTTGGGCGCTAATTCAGAATCATATGCATACTTTGACCCGTAACTCCGGCGTGGAAATATCCTTCTAAAACATACCCCAAATGAAGTAAATATCTCAAAAAAAGATAAGAAAATTGACACGAAACAGGTAAAAAAACATAGACTAACAACTTTTAAATCATGACCATTTTGGTCTAGATCTAGACCTACTAGTCCTAGACTCTAGATCTAGACCTAGAATATAGATCTAAGATTCTTCTAGGTCTTGATCTAGATCTAAGTTAGAATCTAGAGTAAGACCGCCAAACTTCGGACGTTGCCAAGCTAGCTTCGGACAAAAATTACTTTAACGGCTCGAACGCAAAATATGAGCCTAGGTCTAGCTCAGGCGGGTAACTTGCATGCATTACTAATACTAGATTCTAGACTATGGCAGGTTGCCGTCTGCAAAACTCACAAAAAACATCGAATTCAGAGACAGATTTCAGGTTACCTAGATTTTTACAGTCCCTTAATAGGGGAGTTAAGGTGTAGAGCCTCCAATATATCGATTACAAACAAATCCTTGGCATATTTCAGGTGGTTTCTGCCAAAATTATGGGAGCTTATGAGATACTTTTTCACTCTATCGCGAAAATTTTCTAATGGCGGCCGTTACCACGGACCTAGGGGTACTATACAGGTTCCCCTACCGGAAGATGGCGCTCTTCCAAGCTTTGGACATGCAACATTGAGTGTCATTTATGTGACTACGAAAAATAGCGCTTTCGTAAGATTTTAGCACCAAAATATTGTGCAAGTGTTGTGAAAACACCTTTCTGAATTCTGATAGTTCTACCTAAAATAAATCTACCTAAAACGAGAAAATAATACTTTTTTCATGAAATCAACGCAGTCAAACTTACCCCCGTCGTACGATTTTTGATCCGGTTTCCAAACCTCTGATGAATCCGCGCTATACGTGCGCTATACGTGCGCTACACATTAACGTCCGAAGTTTGGCATGAAAAAACGTTCGGCGGGTAAGTAAATAATTCTAGTATTCCATTTCCTTTACTAATTTTTTTTTCATGACATACATACACAGTATTTGCACAATAATAGTATATTTGATCTTTCAATAATTAAAAAAAGAATTTAATGTTTTCCCCCGTTTTGTCTTAAGTGTCCGAAGTTTGGCGGTCTTACTCTATATAGATCTAGGTCTAGACCACTCCAGCAAAGCATGGAGAGTCAATGCTAATGCGTATTGACATTTTGACAGTTTGGTCTAGACTAGGTCATTGAACAATTGCTGAAGATTTAGGCCTACCGCCTAGGCTAGGTCTAGATCTAGACTAGGCCCCTAGTTGATTTTTGATATGTTGTTGTATGGCCGGTATCTCCATGCCAGAGTTACGGGTCAAAGTATGGATATGATTCTGAATTAGCGCCATATTTTGCATTCTATCTGTCTAGATCTATAGCCATCTAATCTAGGACTTTCCGACAAGCTCTATGTATCATAAGGTCTTGTCGTTTTATGACTTGTTTAGTTGCAGAGCACATGCCAAAAAGAAACCGCTTCACAGAAGTGGCCAACGTTCACTCAAAATCTGCATTTACAAATACTGACACGTTTTTATTTCAATAAAATACAATAAAAATGTCAAACTTTATCTTATCCTTTCCTTTTTTTCTTCTTCATTTTTTCTTTTTTAAATAGTTCCTGATGAGAAAGAACATTCTGCTATCAACTATGATAAACTCAAGTGGTTGTGTGAACTTGATGGCCTTCATTCAAGGTAAATAATTATTTTCTAATCACTTTTGCTCAATGTATGAAGTATTAATTAGTTGTTCCTTGATTTTCTTTTCAGTACCTGAGGGCAGCTGGACCAAAGCCTTGGCTATACACTGTGTAGTTACCTTTTTGCATCCCCTGGGATATGTGCAATATAATAGGTGGAACGTTCTATGTTTTACAATCTACTCTTTTGTATTCTGTACGATATTCCATACAGCATTGAAGGGGAACCCAGCTCAGACGAAGCACACAAACTCTTTATGGAGAACTACAAAAGCATATTTGTGAATGGCAAGCCCCAACCTGGAATGCTACCGGTACTCGGGAAGGATATATCAGGGTCTAAAAGCCTTGGAGCTACAAACAATTCAACAGGTATGTTATACAAAAAAAAAATTAAACAATTCAAAGGAGCGGTGACCAACTTAGTTCTAAGAAGCTTTAAGAGAGCTCTGATATAAAAATGATGACGAAAAATGGGAGATGTTAGGGTATGAGGATTTTGGCAGATGGCACTGTAATGCCATGATCTGGCAGTCATTTCAGAACTTTACACTTGCTAATTAAGTTCCTTGGAAATAATTGATGAAGCATCAAAATATCTGGCACCTGTGTTTTGGTACAACAATCATACAAGTAAAACAATATGAGCCTAGATGATCAGATTTTCTTTTTGCAACCAAAACTATATATGAACCCTTTGCTTTTTACGTGTAAACCAATGGCAACTTTTGACAAGAGTATTCAACCGTTCAAATTGCGTATTGAGTCAAACATGTAGCAGCATTTCATGTAACTATTGCTTGCATAAATTAGACAGTGTATATGTAAAGAAGTTGAAGGCTAATTACACAATCAAGATTTAGCATCAATAAAAGTATGTGTATTATGATATCAATGAAGATAATGATTTTGTTCATGTAGCTGTACCTTATTGATTGCTGATTTTGTGTCAAATAAATTGATTATAATAATAATCTGTATAGTGCCATAAGTGTTAGAACCTGGTAGATACCAGCTATATAAATGGACATATTATCAAAGGTGTTGTAGTTCAGTGGTTTAAACACTTGAATGGGTCTGGTAGGAAATAATTCTTGAAATGCTGTGAGCATCTTCCAGTAACCTAGCTAGAGACGTGGTATATTGAGTTCCTTGAGCACCTTGTGTTGTGAAGATGAGCGCTAAAAAAAAGAAAAAAAAAAGAAGGATATATTATTGTATTTTGTTGCTGTCCTTGTTCCATAGAGAATCCAACAGTCACAAAGAGCAAGAAGAAGAATGCGAAGGAGGAGACGCAGGAGCTGCATGATGATCATATCAGCCATGACATCAAGGAGCACATGGCCAAGCTCCACAAGGAGCGCAAGATCCTCGATCCTGTTATCATCCAGAGAAACCGAATCAAGGATCTCAGAACTATTCTCAAGAAAATGTGAGTTTCTGGCAATGATTCTTGGGCCACTTTCTCAAATCAGTCACATCTCTCACTTTGTGGACATATCTTATTGAAATGTGGGTTATAAGTTTTAAAACCTATCTGCACTAGTTTGGACAGGACGGATTAAATCGCGGCCCCCCCCCCCACCGATCCGGGGTCAGAATGACCGCATGCGTGTTAACAAAATGTCCGGTAAAGGGGTACTTTTCACGCACCAAAGTCCGGCTCGTAGTACACAAAATTGACTTTACACACCGAACTTAGGGGGTGTTTTCAAAAGGAAGAAACACGCATATGCATACCCTAAATAACACTGAGTGGGGGGGGGGGGGGCGGGGATTAGATCTCCCTGAGTGGTCACTGGCAGGGGATAGCTATCTCATCAAACAGCTCTCAATTAACATAAGAAAAAGGGGACCATTGGGGATTGTTGGCTATATAGAGGGCGCAAGTATAGCTACAAGTAGTGCAGTCCCACTTTAAAGAGAACTTTAAGTTTTGGTAAAAGTGAAAAAAAAATTGTATAAAAACTATGTCATCTGATTGATTACTATATGGGAAATATATCATAGTAGCAGCATCACATGAAAATGATTGCTCATGAAATGCCCTTACATAAACTTATTGACAAGAAATGGTTCATAGATAGTAACGTACGAGCCACATTTTGCCACATGTGTAAATATATCGACATTATGTGATTTTCTGCAAGATCGAGTCATTTGTGCAGATTCCAATCCTCACAATACACATTGTACTACTTTAAAAGGATCTAAACTAAATGAACATACATGTATATACACCTTCAACAAGATTTAAATCTACTCATATCTCCTCATATGAGTCAAAACAACAATGATAAGCACAAGTTTAAAGATAAAAAACATGAACAAAAAAAAACACAAAACATTATATACTTCATCACGCCAGAATGTGGGATCAACAGGAGAGTGCTTTAGATTATTACTTTTTCATTGTTTTTGTTTTTTAATCTATACTTGTGATATTGATCAATCATGATAATAGGCCCTACGAACGCAAGGCAGATGAAAACGACCTGGTCTACTCACACCTGAAAGCCTTCACTGACCTGTCCAAGCAACTGACCAACAAGGAGCTGAAAGAGCTTAGTACCCTGGTGACATTGGACGTCTGGAGGGACGAAGGATATACAGGTCAGACATTCATTCTTATAGTGTTTCATCTCTCATTCCCATAAACTTAACACAGAGACCATCTACAATGTAGATCCCATATTTTTTTTTATTTTTTTTTTATTATTGACCCTGTCCCAGTGCAGTGGGCGGCAAGTTCTGCTCGAGAGGTTTATCACTGAACAATGTAGTAAGACTAAAAAGGTTGTGACTTTCTTCCAGAAACAGAGTCATGCAGTTACCCTTGTTGTAAAGTTAAATCCTGTGAAATATATTTCATACCCAATTTCACTATGGAAAAAGCATTAGAAGTCAAAATTGAAAGCTTAAAAGTTAATTTATGACAATTTTTTAATGATATCCTTAGAATTGTTAGAACATGCATATAACAGTCAGTAATTGTAAATAGGAAGTATATTTGTTGTTGTATCAGAAGGTCTGGTTCTGGAAGAGATCCTTTTTGTGCGATATATTTCATTTTTTGTTTTCCTTACAGTCTCCCGACTCCTAACAATAAAACGATGCAATAATGCCAATCCCTTGTTGTATCGTTTGTATAGGCCTATGTGCTAGGAAAAAGGAAAAAGATTATTCATGTAGTTAAGAAATGCAAGCAGTCATATCATCAATATCACTTTGTTTATTTATTATTGTTTTACAGTATTTGCGAATAGTGGATTCTTTACTGTATTGAAGGGGAGTGTTATACCTCAGAGTAGACCCTGGATTCAATACAGAGGTGCAGCTGGGAAAGTACCTTTGCTTGTAACAGAGTCATCACATAGTGAGGACAGGTTCCCTGAAGTAAGTATTATAGTATGCCCACCCCCCTTTCTCTCTCTCACTCACTATTACCCTTTTCTAACTGCACTGATTTTCATCGGATCACATCCGATGAAACAGCCAGTTAGAAAGCAACAGAGGAGAAAAAGGCGATTAAATAGCCGATGAAAAGAAGAGAAATAGGCGATTAAATTCTCCTGCTCAAGAGCAGGAGAAATTCTCATTCTATCGGTGTGACACCGATGAAACGGCCAGTTAGAAAGCGTTCAGGAGAAAAAGGCGATTAAAATGGTCAAAGGTCGCAGTATACTCGCGCTTTATCGTAACCAGCTGTGTTTGTTGACTTATGGTTGAACATGCTGCATGCTAGCTAGATGGATCGCGGGCTTAATAATTACGCAATAATTCTTCACTTCCGGCAAGGGCTCGCCACAGGGGGTGAATTTCACCGGCAGTTAAAAAGCGACAGGGGGAAAACTGCGGTTTCACCTTTGTTTACATAAGGAAAATTCAATTGGTATTTTCATCGGTGTGACTCCGATAGAAGCCAGTTAGAAAGCAGTATATGTCTCTCTCTTTCCCTCCCCCTACTCTCTGTCCATCATGCTCCCAATCCCTCTTTATTTTTTCATTTCATTAATATATTTTTGATGTTTTTGGGGGGTAGTTTCTTAAATGTATGATAATAGAGAAGAAAACTGCTCAAAATCAAATAAAAAGCATCTTCCTTTCACACAGTTTGTGTACTTATAATATATGTATTTCCTTTTCATTCATTTAATTTTTCTGCTCTATATTTTCTAATTTTCTAATATTCTCATTATTCTAATAATGTCATTATTTGTATCATTCCAAATTAGCTAAAGGTGGGTGATTGCTTTGGAACATTAGAGAAGGTGGAAGGCCCAGAAGCAAATAGCAAGTGAGTACCCAGCAGAATATCCATTAGCTATTTGATTTTGAACTTGATTTATTGAAGTCTATATTATTAAGAAAAAAAAGGTTAAAACTACAACACATTTCTTTCTTAAAACGTTTTTCAACTAAAGTGAGAGATTAAAGGTTGTTAGCCGACACAAGACAGAGTTAATTGATCCTGGGAAAATTGTTATCAAAACCAATGATCAGGAGAAGAAAAAAATCTGAATTCATTTAGAATGAGCAATATCATTTTTGAGAAAGAGCAATAGAGATGGCCATGATGCTAATGCTTACAAATAGTATTGTGAATTTGTTTGGTAAATATCACACGATATATCATCTTTTTGTGCTTCAAAAGTGTCTAGAAAATAATTACCACAGGTTTAGCCCTGGTATTTTTTTTTATCAGGACACGGTGCATTGGGAAGGAACAATTCCTACCAGGTGTACACTGTATACCCACATATATCCGTACCTGTGTCAAATGTGAAATGAAAGCAGTGACCTTCGCATCCCATTTGAGTGTTTTAACTAGTCAACTACGACATGTCTACAGTATTAGATTGATGAATCCTATTTGCTATATAGAAAATGTACTAAAATTTTGCTATATATTGTGTTTTAAACAGGCTGCTGACTGTTTCAATCAACTCTGTACCGACAGAGTTCCTGAAGATATCTAGCAATGACTTCAAACGCATCACTGAGGTATGCAAAAAATGACATTGATATTCCATCATATGCCTGATAATTCATATCTCTCTATGTACTTATGTAATGCCTTATGGTAAGTCAATCGCATATATCAAGTCATTCTCTGGGAATTGGGTTTAACTTCTTTCATGCCATATCAAAGCATCTAATTCTGCCAAAGATTGTAAACTGTCATAGCTGATGTGTAGACAAAGAAAACCTTGTTGTATTTTATTCTGATTTATGAAGGAGACAAGTGTGTAAAGGTACATGTAGGTGGATGCCATGGGTTTTTGCCCTCATGTTTAAAAACAAGTCCAGCTACCATATTGTTCCTTGATATATATCTTGATGTCTGTACAAGCACTTGTCAAACCAGAAACTTTCATGTCCATGAAATGTTCATGTATTTCACAAGTTTTTCACAAGGCTCAGTTTTGCAAGTTTCATATGCCACAAAATTACTGAGTATCACAGCTGACACGACACAAAATGTTTGTAATTTGTGAAGATTCTTACAGTGAAAATAGTTTTCCTTTACAGTTTTTGAAAGTTTATGTTCTTAGAGTATGTCTGATGTTAGACCCTCACTCTGCGTAAGATAGAGCAAGGGTCATGTTCCTCCATTGTACATCTCAAACATATTACAGTCAAAGCTGTCTGTTAAGCCACCTTTCTAAACAGGTTCTAAAACACACGTTTCTTTCTCAAGGTAGACAAAGTACATGGCCATTATAGACTTGTGGCCTTTGTAGAGAGGTGGCCACAAAGACAATTTCAACTGTACACACCAAAATTGGTTTTTCTTACATTGAAATACTTTTTATCATAGGATTGTTCAAGTTTTTATGACGGTGTGTTTTAAATATGGTCTTAAAATTAAGAATTAAGAATTAAAAAAATTAATCCACCATGCAAAGACACCAACACAATAAACATGATTCATTACTTTGTATTACATGCATGTTATATCTATTAAAATAATGTGGTACAATGTAGAATATTTATGGGAGTCTAGCAGAATATTTTACTTGCTCTATCATGATGTTTTCATATTTTCTTTCTTAGCAAATACAATCACAAGAGAACACAGAGAAGATAAATCTGATCAATTCCTGCAAGGCATATCTGATGTGGCCAAGACAGTCATTACTCAAGCTAGCTGAACTCTTGGAATGGACAACCTTTCAAGAAAATACTGGTTAGATCATTGTTCATATGTTGCCGTTATCATCCTTGTTCACATGTATCGGTAAACTGATGGGGCAATAAGCGCAGTGTGCTTGCCATATCTCTAATACACAGATAAGTGAATTTTGTTGCTCTTGGCTATTTATTAAAAAAAAAAATTTGAGACTATTTCTAAACATAATCTTTGTTACCTTTCATTTGGTTTGTAGTTCTGGTGAGTGAAGGTTTCTTGTGTCCTTTCATCGGCTTTGTCAAGTCTGGGGAATGCCATGTCCTGAGGCAAGTGGAGGTCAAGGAAGTTCTACCAAATGGGAAAGAGGTAAATCAATCTTTTTTTTCTTCATTCCTCCTTTTTTTTCTTTTGATGCTTTAAAACCTGAATAATACTAAAGATAGGGGAAAAAAATATAAGTGTTAGGGTTACTATGGCAAAAGAGTTTGTTAGGTTAGGTGTAATGTTTAGCCCAAAATTGAAATTTAGAATTCAGTTAGATTAGGATATCTATTCATTGCAGACAAGTTGTTGCTAGATGATGATTTTAGTTAAATGAGCTTCATTATTTACACATCTTATGATTTTTTTCTTCTTCAAGTTTTGCATGCATTGGCAACCCTATTTTGATTCCCCCAGTAAGATTATATGCTCTAGCTCTTCGTGTGAATGGATCTGTTTTCTTTCTTTCTTTATCTAATGTGGGGATGCAGGAGAGACGACACAAGCAGGTTGTGATGGGTCAGCTGTTACATTCAGAGTCCTTTGGTGAGATTAGTGTTCTGAGAGAAGAACTAAGCAATTCCTCCATTGTAACATCCACCAGCGTGGAGTTAGGTGTCATCTCGGTGGAGAGGATAAACGGTAAGAAGAACAAATGTATATCAGGATCATTTGAAGTCTATGCACAGCTCAGTCGAAAAGCAAAGTAAAGTTACAGCCAAATTCGCAATGATATTGTACGTCTTACTGTTCATCTTGTGGATTTTATACAATTTCTGACAAATCCACTGTCCTGTAAAGGGCATGACAAGACTTACAAAAATATCAAGTAAAAGGTAACTTTAAGTCATGATCAGGTAACTTTAAGTCATGATCAGGTATCTAAATTAATTTTCCTACCTTTTGCCAGTAACTTCAAATATCAAGGAGCATGAAATGCTGAAGATTGTATCACAGAAATCTGTTAAAAGTTTGTTCAAGCTGACTAATACTGGACATGAGCTTTACGCTTTCTAGAAGCTTGGTCGATTAAAACAAATTTCCATAAAAATACTTTTTGTAAATATTAAAAAAAACATCTATTAATTATTTCAAATCTCTTTATAATACAGCCATGGTAATATTATATAAAAAAAATAAGAAGCATGAAAGTTAATTCAGTTTTAAATAATTTGGTAGTCATTTCATATGGGTGAATGTAACTTTGCTATTTATATCATGTTAACATTCTAATCAGGGATGCCAGTTTTCAGGCCCTGGAGTGTTATTTTCAGACCATAGTTTAGGCTTTTTTGTGTACAAAATAGCTCATTCTAGGTGATTTTCAGGCCCTCTGATCAATTCTAACTGGCATCCCTGTCTAATGCATACATGTTTTTTGTTTTATAGAAATTTAAAGAAATCATGCATTTCAATATTACTGTAACACATTCTCAATAACTGTAAAAATGATAAACTCCTGTATTTTTTTTTTCTTTGGCAGAATTGGACGAGACCACTAGATCACTTCTTCTTCAGTCTAATGAGACACTCTATGAATCCCTATCAGAGGTAAATTTGATCAATTTCAAGGTCTGATTAATTGTATGAGACAAAGTTTTAGAGTGAATTGTGCCGATGTGTTGTCCTGTGCAGTGCCACCCATTTTGATGTATACGTATATCGTCTTCTAGACCTATGAATATATCTAACATTCAGTATTTCTGAGGCAGAAAGTATCTAAATATAATTTAGATAAATTGTCATCATTATGGAATGCTGGAAAAAAGAGGAAATTTGTTATTGAAAATAAGTTTATGAAACAGGGCCCTGATCATCAAGTTTCTTGGTATGACAAGTCATTAATGTTAAATACCAACATCCATATAAAAATAAAGACCAGAATTGGATCAAGAAGACACAGTAGTCAAAATGCGGAAGGATAACTCTTTTGACCCAGCACAAGTTCTACCATTTCACTACATTTAGGTAATCAAACCCTTTTGCAAGCACCCTTTAAATTTTTATTTCTCATTCTTTTTTTTTTAAAGACTGAAATCCACAGCGAATACATAGACCAGGAACAGAAGCGAGAATGGAACCAGTTCAAACACAATGTCCTTGTGGATGTCATCAATGCCAGGGGTATTAGACCAGGCTATGGAAAGTGGGCTAAATGAGGACCAGACTATCTCTTGCTGGTAACAACTCCATGCTATAAGAGGAACAGAGAAAAGAACAACTTTCTCAAGGACTGTGGAACAAATCTTTTATCTGCAATTCTGGAATTTTGTGACCATTTTGATATGAAAAAGAATTTGTTGCGTCATAGACCTTTATCGGATGAGATAAAAAAGGGGAACAGAACAAATTGTATATGGTTTTTTCGTTTTTTTTTAAAATTGGTCATAATGTAGAATGTGACTATCAAGATGACATGACCGATATTTGAGCAGTTCCACTTCCGGTTGTGGAATGGGATATTGTGTTAATATCTCTAATATCGCTAATATTTCTCTTGCAATATCTAATATCCATTCATACGTATGTGTTGATGAACATAACAAACAGCGCACATTTTCAACGGAACACAGCTTGAGATATCTGGGCACTGTCACAAAGAGCATATTTTCAACTTTTTCAAAGTCAATTTATTTCACACTAAATACAGTTTCTTCCATTAAGTATGTACACCTACATTATTTTATGTATTTCAATCGAACATATTTCATTGGTAGTGAATATAGACATCAACAGATTATAAGGAAACATAGGAACAAAATAAATGTCAGCAGAATATAAAAGTGAAGAGTGCAACAATTATTTTGTTACGATCGCCTGTCTGATTATCAAGATATTTATGATTAGAAATCAAAATTTCATTTTTCGTTTTCCTATTGGGGAAAATGAGTATGGTAAAACTGGTCACTCCATGATCAATATTATACCACATCACATTGTACTTCGACGTTCGAACAAATTCTGCTGAGCTCAAATTGTACATTTCTGATCATTCGCAATAAGATTTTGTATATACATGTATATACAGTGTACATTTAAATTATGAATCTTTGTATGTAACAAAATATATTATGTACATTTTATTTACTATGTGAATAATGGTAAAATATGAAAAATATATTTCCCGAAGGCTGGATAAACAAAATTCATGAGTCATTCTTTTTTTAATGAAAATCTTTGTCAGAATACTTCGTCTTAGTCTTTTGAAGTCATTAATATAATCGCTTATACTGCAGTCATAAATTAATGGAGACCCAGATGACTATTCTGAAGACCTAAATGAAGACTACCTATGAAGTTAGGTTTAACTGAAGTTCTGTTCTGAAAGGCTGATATAAGTTGCACCTATTAAAGTTTATACTACAGCAAAGTTGGTATTATCTGTGTCCTAGCTCCTCCTCTGGTAAAGCCTGCTTTAGCTCTCGAAGAGCCCATTTCTTGTTATCAATGGCAGCCGTTAACTCCTGGTACTCCCTCACTATCTCCTCAAAGTCTGAACCGATGGCTTTGTAGTTCTTCAGAGCTTGGTCGTGCCGCATCAGGTCTTTCTCACGCTCCTGTACAGCGCCCTCTAGCTGTTGCCTATACAATAGAACCAGATGGGTGTTTGTGTTAATGTACCACGGCACATCTAAGCTATCTTGTCCCAAATGTTGCCACCCACATGTAAGGTTAATTTCTGGTTACTGTATCAAACTGATAGCCCTGGGCTAACAGAGCTTGGGTAAGACAAAATATCAAGTCAAATCATATTTTATGTCAATTCATGTTCAAAATTCATTACTATTCAATAATACTTTCTCACATACATGTACTTGCCCTCTTTATACTCTAGAAGAACTTGCACTCTTAAGAACCCAATAGTGTTTGTTATACAACATACATGATACACCTCCCTAAAGGCACTATGTCGTAATCGTAATCCAGTGAAACCCGTACATAGAGACCCATCCAAGGAGAGAAAATAGTTAGACAGACTGCTCAAGCCAAACATTATAGGAACAAAAATGTTGTCTTGACAGGGAGGTGGCCTTCATGTACAGGCTTCAATAAGACAGACTGCTCAAGCACAACATAACAGGAACAAACAAAAATGTGGTCTTTATAGCTTATAGATTTCACTGTAAACAATATATAACAGGAGATAAACCAATTGTGTTACCTTGCTGTTTTCATTGCTTGAAGAACTTCAGGTGTGTACGTGCTGCAAAGAAGCTTGGCTTCAAAGACTCTGAAAAGGAAAACAAATAAGGAAGAAAAAGAATCTTCAAAATAATGCTATTTTTCATCCAACTAAACAAAAATATTATCCTCGTTTTAATTATTTTTTTACAAAAGGATTACTGTTATACTAGCAGGACCCGCGGAAATCCGCGGGATTCTAGAGGGGTGGGCGGGGGGGGGGGGGGGGGGGGGGGGGGGGGGGGGGGGGGGGGGGGGGGGGGGGGGGGGGGGGGGGGGGGGGGGGGGTTTGAGATATATAGAGACTGTCTTAATTAAAACCACCAAGAACTTTATTTGCCATTCAGGCCATTAAAAAAATATACATGTTTAGCGTCCCCGCCCGCTTCCTTTTTGGGGGCCGCCTCCTATTTTTTTTTTTTTTTTTTTGAAAGAAAAAAAAACAGCGTCCCCGTCTGCTTCCTTTTTGGGGGGCCGCCTTCTATTTTTTTTTTTTTTTTTTTTTTTTTTTGTTGAAAGAAAAATAAATTGAAAGGGAAAATGTACGGAGCGGCCATTTTGAAAGAAAAAAAAAAAAAAAGGGCCTCCTCCTTCCCATTTTTCGAAAAAACAGGACGCTAAAAATGTTTTTTTTAAAATTTGGCTTTATATAAAAATTAAAAAAACGATCCAACTGTACCGGTAATTATTCTTTAAGCCACTGGAACTGCGTAGAGTTCCGTAGTGTGGCGTACCGACTACGCAGAAATTAGGCTGCGTATTAATGGGAAAATAGTCCCTGCGTAGGTTATGCGTAGGCTGGCGTACAGGTTTGCTTATGGTTGCTTACTGTGTGGAAAGCTTTTACTGCTTTGTCGATCTGGCGTAGGGTAGCGTACTGTTGCGTAGGCATGTAGCGTAGTGTTGCGTAAAAAGGCTGCTTTCTGCGTCAAGTTTCTACGCCGAAAGTACGCGAAAAAAATTAAACGTGTTGAATTGTTTTCTTTCATCTTGCGTACCCCTTTTCGTTCCTCAGCATATAGTAACGTAGGCCAGCGTAGTTTGTACGCAACACTACGCAACTCTACGTATTGACCCCACGCCAATTAGTGACCCGCAAGTGTCACAAATAAAGTATTAAAAATATGCTCATCTGACCCTTATTAAAACACCTAAACCCCCGAGCTTTCGGGGGTTTATCCAATCCAATCCAATCCAAAAGATATTTGATATAGCGCCTTTTCCTTGCAGTTACAAATTGCGCTGCACACATGCTCGACAATGTTTGGGCCACTTAAAAACAAAAGTTAGACACTTCTTAGAGATCAGCAAAGTATATGTAGGCTGGTAATAAAGTAATGGTTATGGACCCTTGAAACCCGTGGACCCCACGCCTATATTATATATATACACTCAACTCGCTGCGATCTGATCTCTCCCCCCCCCCCCCCCCAACTTTGAAGAACGTAACCCCCGAGCTTTTGGGGGTTTATGGGGTTTATGGCCCCTTGAAACCCGCCTATATTATATATACACTCAACTCAGGACCCGCGGAAATCCGAGGGATTCTAGAGGGGGACGCAGGCAAAAAATTAAGTTTTTCATTTTGGGGGCTCCATTTCAATTTTTGGGAAATTTCGGGGACTACTTTTTCAACTTTCGGGGGCTCTTTTTTCTGGGGCTACTTTTTATTAATTCATAAAAGGATAGGCCTACACTTTGTTGAGATTTGTTTAGTAGGCTAAGGACAGGTTTCAGGCTTCCTATACTTCATAATTGCCTATTTAAAAAAAAAACATTTTTCTGGTTCAATAACTAAGTTTTCATGCATTGATTTGATACTGTAACATAATAGACCCTAGATTGTGATTATTTCTGACCATGAATTTCGATAATCATTTTTCAAAGTAAAATTTTCACAAGAAAAATCAGACAGTCGTTTAAAAACGTAGACATTAGTAATACTTTTACTAATTCCAAGATCAGGTTTTGTAAATCTATTCACGAAACTATATGAAATCGCAGCAATAATGATGCAAACCAACAGATAACAATTTCAAAGTGTCAAATCTCTTCGACTCGAGCTCAGCTCAGCCGAACTCACACATACACACACAGCGTAACTCCAGGAAGCTCGAACACCGGCGCCGCAGGCCTCGGATGCCTGCGGTGCGCGGAGCCGGTGTTGGAGCTTCCTGGAGTTAACTGCAGCTCACACACACTGCACAGCAGCACTGCACTGTGTGTTGACGGAAGGCAGCTTGGGACTGAATTGTCAGTCCAATGGTTTTCTTGTGAAAACTTTCCTTTATAAAATGATAATCAAAATTTAGTAGCATGATATGGCCGTAATAATCACAAAATAAGCTTTGATTTCATACCTCCATTCATGAAAACTATATAAAAATCGCGGCAATAATGATGGAAATAGGTCCCTAAGTTTGGACGTGGACGGGAAGCTTCGTGTGTATCTCTGTGGCTTGTGCAGCTACTATACAAAGGATATCCTATAGAAAGATGCTTTACTCGGGTAAGCCCGACCCTGTGCGCCGTGCATTTAATACGCAACTTAATGTGAGTGGATGGTCATCGGTCGTGTGTCTACGGATGTAATGTTGAATATCCATGAGGTATCTCTGTCGTCACGCATATCCTGCATTATGCATATCGCGTCTGTTTTCGCCCTGGACGTCGACACGGAGGAGAAACTCGGGCGGAGTATAGCCAATTCCACAGAGTAGACTCTCCCGCGGACGATGGCACCGGGCACGGGTACCCCGAGGGGAGGGTTCAGGAGGAGATAGCCGCACCAACTTCGGTCGGCGATCTCATAAAAAAACAATAGAATACAAAGGCTCGCCGAGACGTCGCGCCCCCCGCGGAGCCTTAGCGTATTACTTATATAGAAATCTGATTTTTGGACATATATAAATGTTGATGATACAATGGACAACACAAATTGTCATGTACACTGCAATTCATTTTGACCCTTTGAGCAACAAAAGGAAGAGAATTCTCCATATATAACAGGTACACATTAAAATTACACTGCCAGTGGGAGATTCCCCATATCATTAATGATCTTAACTTTTCAAAATCTGTAAATTACATAATTTCTTCATCAAATTTTATTTCAAAATTTGAACTACCGGTAAAATAAGTGCTTTGAGCATGTTTATGTAAAGGCACTATATAAATATCAATATGTATGTATGTATGTATGTACGTTCCTCTGATTTTTTTCTTCTGCTTTTTACCAAAGTTAGCTTTATAAGGGCTTGTTCACACATACGCATGAAACCAGTTTTAGTGAATGTCAAATGGGGATGAAAACCAAGCAGCTATGGCACCAAAGGATCAATGCAAACTCATGTATATGTGTGTTACATAAGTTGAGTTCATTAGGCTTTACATCACCGTGGTAAAAAGATCATATGTGAACAAGCCTTCAAGAGGGTCAATGCTCCTTTTTGTAATCCCTTTTCTATCCTGACCTGATTTTGAGGCTCATGGCATGACAACGTGCATCGAGCCAATCTGTGGTGATGCTGTCGCTATCAGCTTGCAGACGTAGCCTATGATTGGTGATCAGTTTCTCTAAGGTATGTAGGGCTTCTCTCAAGATCTGCAAAGATATAATCATATTCCAGTCTCCTTTAATAATGAAAATTACAATAAGCTTTTGTATAGCACATATCATATATGTAGCAAAGTCTCTTTGACCTTCCAAAGAGCTGAATTATTATCCTGGCTTTGGCCTAGCTGCCCTAATTAAGGTGCTGGAGCATTCAAGGAATGACTTCCTACTTGTACCCATTTACCTCATCACTGTGGTAAATGTAGAAATGTAGACTAAGATCTGGCATTATTGGACAAAATATAATTGAATTGAATGACTATACTGTGGTTAGATTCCCTTTACATTGTGACTAACGGTAGGGAGACTTCCTGACTAGACCACAATACCTTTATTTATCTGGGTACAACTGTTTCTATGATCTTTTAAAAGTGTACTGGAAGTTAATATTATGGCTATTAGAACCAACTGCCATTATCTATGCTGTTGCAATTCAAGGAATTATTTCTATGACTGGTGATAAGTTCCTCCAAGCTGTGCAGTCATGTATGGGTCATATCACATAGTCTTTTTAAGCTCCTAAAGAGCACTTGAAGTTGTTACAATTGCTACACTATCTCCCTAAGGCAGCCATTATCAGTGAACAGTACAGAATCAGGAGTGAGAGTTAAACAAAAAAAAGTTTTAAGTGAGAATTAAAAAAATAAAATAATAATAATCATGTTTTAGAAATTATTCAAGACATCATTTCTATTTTGTCTGAGAGGTATAGGACAATGAGTTGGCTTCCCCAAGAAGGCTGTTGTTGCATTGTAAATACATATTTCTTACCACCATCTTGGGGCAGCCAAGAAATTTAAGAAAAATGCCTTACCTGATTGTACTGCCAGAACTGTTTGTTCCTCAGGAGTTTGGCCAATTTGAGCTGTTTCTTCTCTTCCTCCAGCTTCATCTTCTCACTGCGCAAGACGTCAGGGAGCTGGGTCGCTTTAGCAAAGGTCAACTCATCACCTGGATGAAACATGGTGAAGAGAAAGAGGGAGTAAGACAACTTAGGATGAATTGAGAGAGAAGGAAAGGAGTATGACTTTAAAAAAAGAAGAAGAGATTTACAAAAGACAACTAACTTAGGATGAAAGGAGTCGGAGAAGGCCGCATTGTGTTTCGTCCACCAGTGACCATTGTGTTTGGAAAGAAGTCTTTAGTGGTTGCAAACTTAATTGGTCAAAATGGGATTAACAGTTGAAAAAATTATTTATGACAAGAAAGTCTCACATGTAAACATTTACATATAGCCTAAAATGACATCTGATCTTGGCAGGTGACCCCTGACAGCATCATAGAGTGGAGGCCCCCCAATGAATCTGTTAGGCCTAATTGGTGGAGAAAATAATGTACCCAATACACAGTCTCTTGCAGACACTCTTGGTCTTAGAGGAAAACATGCATTGACATTCAAATCACGCTATTCATTCATTATAAATGTCCCCTGAAAAGGATTACTTTTCATATGCCCTATTTGAAATATGACCAAAACTAGCTGTAAAGTTTGGACCAAACAAACATGCCTGTAGTCCCATATATATATCTGTGGTGCAGTGCACGTGACTTACAGCAAGGCCGAGTCAATAAGCCAGTTCGTAAATAGCTTTGGAATGCATGACCCCAAATATCCACAGATCTTTTACACGATGGATACGCAGAGCTGCCAACCTTGTGCGACCAAAAAAAGGAGTCATGATGGCAAAAAAAAAAAAAAGAATTTCAAGCAAAAAAAAGGAATTCATAAAAAACGAAACTTACAACCACATGCGACACACTTCCAATGCAGAAATGTTCATTCATCATGCTGTTTTTTGCCATACAAGCAGGTAATTTTTTTGGTGGTATTTCGGTATTATCAGCATTTCATTTTTTTTGAGAATATTTTTCTCTTCAAGTATGTTTTAAAATTAGTTTTCTATTGAATTTGTGATCAAATCACCATTTGAGGGCCGTTGTTTGACGTGCGGTATGTAAAAAAAATAATTAAAAAAAAAATTATTAAAAACGTATTTTATGAAAAAAACAAAAACGTAATGCCGTATTTGGAGGAAAAAACGGAATAATTCCGGACGATAAAAACGGAATGGTTGGCAGCTCTGGATACGCCGTACTTGTGCATTTTAGAATAATCACTGCCGAAGTTATGGAGGTGCTTCATGGATACCTTTCGATTGCCTCTTGAGAAGAACACTTCCACATGTGTATCAGATAAATGTACCATTGGTGCATAAATGAATACTAATTACATAACTTTCATGAGCACCATACCAGTACTCATCTCGATGGGTTTTACAATTTGGGAACAAATTACCTCTATCTGCATATGCGCAGATAGTATCTATGAATTTGATGATTCAACAATGCAACCTCATAATATTACGAAACAATTCTTATATACAGTGCGTCCCAGAAAAACGAAACCGAGAATTATTGATGTTTTATCATAACTTAATCACAATTATAATTAACAAATGACACATATTTGGAAAACTTAGATCCTCCTCTTTCATTTGATGCAACTCATATGATTCATATCTTATGCATGAGTGATTAAAAGCAATTTGAAGAGGGAAAACCAAAAAGTCATTTGGCGGGCGGTATCTGAATTAGCTGTAGTCAAACGTTTAACCGTCCGGTATCCGACCGCCCATGGCGGATTCCGTTTTCAATTGGACGGTTTCGTTTCCCGTTTTTTTTTTTTTTTTTTTTTTTTTTTTTATAATTTTTTTTTTTTTTTTATAATTTTTTTTTTTTTTTTATAATTTTTTTTTTTTTTTTTAAAGTTTCGATTTATGCCCCTCCACCTGGCACTATGCCTGGCAATGTCTCCCAGCTCAGTAATCGATGTGATGACTTACCACTTGGAAACTAGAACAACACTCCAATTTGTCTGTCATCTTGGTTTGAAAGTAATCTTTGTTATAGATCTCAATATATATTCATCCAAGTTTAACACATGGTGTACCACAAGGTTTTATCCTAGGTCCTCTGTTTTTAATTTACTTTAATGATCTTACACATTATTCTAAAACGACATTGTTACTATTATTTGTGACTAGTTCACAAGCACAAATCGGCGCCTTCAGTTAAATTACCTTCCAGCTTTTTCACACGGACAAAAAAAAAAAAAAAAAAAAAAAAAAAAAAAAAAAAAGATTTTTTTTTTTTAATTTTTTTTTTTAAAATAAATCGTTTAACCGAAAACCGTCCGGTTTTGACAGGCGGGTTAAACGGAATTGGAGATATCCGTGATGTTACAGCACTATCTGATTCTGAATTTCAAGGAGAAAACAAACTCAGTTGATCAAATTATGGAAATGCAAGCCTTACTTTAAACAAACAGAACTTTGCTATTCCTGGCTCATTTTTCCTGATTGAGGTGTCATTTGAAAGGGCAGAAATTTAACTTTCTAGAAATGTGATTTTCTTTTTAAAATTCAGATACCGCCCACCAAATGACTTTTTGGTTTCCTCTCTTCAAATTGCTTTTAATCACTCATGCGTAAGATATGAATCATATGAGTTGCATCAAATGAAAGAGGAGGATCTAAGCTTTCCAAATATGTGTCATTTGTTAACTATAATTGTGATTAAGTTATGATAAAACATCAATAATTCTCGGTTTCGTTTTTTCTGGGACGCACTGTATAACATAATCAACCTTTCCCAATCGCAAGCAGAACTGATAAAGCTTTACCTGTAGTTGAACTGGAGTCTGTTTCATGGAATGATTGAAGCTCTTCACACTGCTTTCTGAGTCTCTCTTCTATGAGGGGAATTAACTGGGGCTGTATCATAGACACCATCTTCAATCAACGAAAAAAAAAAAAAAAATTATATCAATCCATAAATAATACACAATTATATGAGAAATGAAATGTTTTCCTTTGTAGCCTGACATTACCTATGAAGAAATGGATCAATTATATTCATTACATATGACATAGAACAGCCCCCCATCCCCCCCCCCCCAAAAAAAAGAAAAAAGTATTGCTGATATGAAATATTTTGACTTTAATTCATACTGTTTATCTCTATTGCTGAATAAAATAACATTTCTTTAAAGATTAAAATGCAAGATCGACCCTTAAAATGTAAAGCCAACACTGGGTTTATTGCTCAGTCTTAATATGTTATCCATATATATTTTTAGGAGGGTCCTATTAAGGGAGAAGTCACTTTGGAAAAAACAGAAATTAATGATATTTTTGTACAAAACAAAAGGGAGAGTTATCTGTGACTATGGTACAATCCACTGACCAAATTTCTAGTTTGAGATTTGCATAAACTGAGTATTCTCACTTATTAAAAACTTTCATAAATTTCTTATTATCGGTCCAATTTATTCCAAACTTATGCCATTCTGTTTCTTATTTTTGTTAACTTTCATACAAATAAACTTATCACAAGGGTTTGATAACTCAGGATAGGATATTTTATATGACAACGTGAAGAGTGCTCTGATTGGCTAATATTTTTCTGCAGAGTCTGGCGAACTTTGAGGTCAACAGTCGTTCTAGTTTGCTTGTAAACAGGGCAAACCACACAATGTGGACAATTGACGTGAATGAGTTTCTGTAGAAACAGACTGCTATCATTCCGAATATACAATACAGTTAGCACTGAGATGTACCTTTTTCTGGTGATTTCCTGCGAGTAGTTTATCTTTCTCTAAGCCTAGCAGGGTAGCTTTGTCACCATGCTCCTCGCTATCATTCCTCTCTGATAGATAGTCACATGCTTCAGCTGTAGCCACACACTGCTGCAGGGCTTCATAGAACTGTCCAGTAACAACAAAGATATAATTAATCAACATGACAATACTTTGTTCTTGTGTTGCGCATATCTCCCTTTCTGACAAAAAAAGTCTCTTGGGGTTCAGAACTGAAAATGCTGCATACATACCTTGTTGAAATTTGGAAAATGGGGGGGGGGGGGGGGGGGGGTCCAGACTGATACTGCAAATACACCGTAATAATCATTCAAAATGTTGGCACATTTAAAACATTGCGTTTTTAATGCTTTTACAAACACGGTTTTAAATCGCTTGTCTGTTTTTTCACACACTAAACATGATTTAAAGATACTATGTCCCTTTTGCAGCGAATATATCAAATTCTGTAGAACTTTGCAAGAATTTTATGTCATGTATGTCTTATCTGTGAAATTTAAACATTAGCAGTGTCCCAGTATTCAAATTATGCAAGGAAACCGTTTACCTTCTAGACTTCACTGTCAGACTTTTCTTCTTTGGTAATAACATATGGTACATAAAATGAGCTGTCACAAGTACATGGGCATTTGTCTACATGAATTACCCACTACTTCAATGGTCAAAATAAAACTGATTGAATCTTTGTGCAGCACAAAACGTACGACCATTCAGTAAAAGGGTTTGCAAATCAGACTATTGCAATCGCTCAAGTTGATTTGACAACTAATGGTCATTATTTTCCCATTAAAAGCTATTTCAAGCCCTTTCGCTGTGAGGGAAGTTCTAAATTAGTATTGTCTTTCAAATGTACTGGGTAGTTGGAATTTAACCTTTCATTTTTTTGGCCTGCAAATTGGACATCATAGTACCTTTAATACACCCCACAGACATGTGCGTTTAATATAGGTTTTACATCTTTTTTGTGATAAGTTTTCAACAATAATAACATGAATTTACCAATCAATTCACACATGTACCGGTACTTGGTTATCTTGGATAATTAGCTGCTACCTTTATACACAGATAGACTGGGTGAATTCTTATAAAAGGTGGACCAGCAAAGATTGGTCTAGGGTGAATACTCCATTTTCATCTAATTGGATGAAGCCCAAAGACCAAACAATTAAGTCATTTGACAATGTAAGTAACAAAATATAAATCAACTAAATTTGTCACAGCTGCAGCAGTGACTACTCACCATAAGCATAGCTCAACACTTAGCTGTCTTGAAAGGGGGTCCACACTTTTTACAGTTTGCATAAGTTTGTAAGTCTTTTTTTTTTTGGGGGGGGGGGGGGGAGGGGGGAAGGTCCAAATGTTGATTTTTGGCCCCCATGTGCCCCTGGCACTTTTTAGTGTTGAGCCCAGCCATAGGCGTACATTATGGCCCTATGAGTGGGAATTGATCTTATTAATTGATTCCTACCTGTGCAGTCTTGGAGTCGGGAGCCACTTCATGAGAAGCTATGTTGTGTTCCGTGAGAAGCTGATGCACCTCATGATGCAAGATGTGTTTCTCTAGGTAACCCATCCTTGCTCCTTCCATCTTCTCCTTGGCCTTTACAAGGAAAGAAAACTCAATTAATAACTCCGCCTTTGTCCTTTGTATACATGTAATTGTCGATACCCTCCCAAACAAATGATAACAAAGTACAAACTGAATTGTGGTTTATGGATGATTATAGACTATGGTACATAGCAGGGCTCCACACCAACTGTTTTGAAAGGGGTCCAGTCTGAACTGCATGCATGAGCCCTATGTAAAAAGTTCAGCACCTTGTTAGTGTCAAGCCCCAATTCCGCGAAATCAGCTGGAGCACACTCTTGGGTCTTCAGGGCTAAATTGCTTCATGCATTCTTTCTGCTGAGAAGAAAATAAATCTCTGCAAAGTTTGTTCACCGATATTAACAATTTCAGTATCAAAGACCACTAGACTCAACCAAAAGCTGATCATACATCCAACAGTTTTGGATAGACATAATCATGTGCGTCTTACTGCAATTTGAAAACAGGTTCTGTATTCAATGTTAAAGCTAAAGACCAGTTATAGTCATGCAATCGCATAGTAAAAGAAATGTTGTGAAATCGATCAGAAAAGGTTGATCATCTAGCATAGATGTACTGCAAGGTTCTGGAATCATCAAAATTATAAGAAATTTTGCCAAGTCTTCATAAAGTTAGAAGCACTGTACACAGAAAGATGTATATGGGACTACACACATGTGCGCGACACGTGCATTTGTATCTCTCAACAGTATATAGATATACTAATTTACCAAATATATCAATTAGTAGGCGGTTTCCCGTCAAAATTTTTATCGTCATGTAATATTCAAAACATATTCTTTCACATGATTGGTAATAAGAGCTTCCATTTCATTTTTTGAAATTGGGGCATTTCCAATACTAGTCTTTACCTTTAAACCTATATACATAAAACATGAAAGTGTTTCTATAAAGATGAACAATAAGAAAGGAATTCAGGACACATTGATAGTACTGTAAATGTAAAGGCTCATTGAGATATGTAGTGGTAAAATGCATCCTCTTAAAAAAAATGAGTAAGTGAATAAGCAACTGCGTGCAACAAAGGTGCTTTGGGTATTTACTGAATAATGTGAAGCATTCTGTGCTTAGGCTATTAAAAAAACAAGGTGTCATATCTGAATGAGGCTTGAGGATGACCATTAGTCCTTTGACTCCACTATGAAAATAACGGACAAAGAAAGCGGACAAAATATACAGTTCCTCAGGTAGACAAAGGAACATCCCTTCACTGCTATTATGTAAAAAGGTGAATATGCATGTGACACCTGTTCTACACATTTTTACATAATAGCAGTGAAGGGATGTTCCGTTGTCTACATGAGGAACTGTATATTTTGTCCGCTTTCTTTGTCAGTCATGTTCATAGTGCTCCTTACCAGTTTGTGAGCTTCTTCCATGTGCTTAGATGTGCCATCTTCTGTCAGATGTTGGGAGAGTGCTTTGAGAAGGTTCACACATCCTGGATTCTGTGCAGCATCACTCTCTGACATGTGAACTGGTAGGTTCATGTTCACTGCAAAGAGAAAAGAATGACAGTGGAGGTTTCTTATTAAATTGCATCATGTCTAAATTTACACTTTGATAAAATGCAGACTAAAAAAATTACCAGAAAAAAAAACTCCAGATGTATTGAAGGGCAGAGTAAAGATGTTTGCACATGACACAAAGGTGTACACTCGCATCAGAGAACAGAAAGATAGTGAAGTTCTTCAGGAAGACTTGGATAATCTGAGCAAATGGTCTGAAAGATGGCAACTGAGATTCAACGTAGACATGTGTGGTATAATGCATTATGGTAAACAGGTAGTAAAGATGACATACAACATGGAAGGAGGAGGTATAAGAAAAGACCTTGAAGTTCGTGAAGATGAGAAGGACCTTGGTGTAACTTTTGATCCATCCTTAAAATTCAGTAAACATGTGAGTGTAACAGCTAACAAGGCCAACAGGATCGTTGGAATTATCAAAAGAACATTTGACCATAAAGATGAAGAGATCTTCAAGCCACTATACAAGACATCGGTGCATCCCCATCTAGAGTACGTCAACTGTGTGTGGAGCCCATTACTAGAAAGGGATAGAACAACAATTGAAAAAGTCCAGAGGCGTGCCACAAAGATGATTCCAGCACTGAAAGACTTACCATATGAAACCCGTCTTCAACGGCTCAACCTACCTACCCTCTCGTACAGACGCCTCCGTGGTGACATGATTCAAGTCTACAAGATCATGCATGGCCTCAACGATATCAAGATAAACAATCTGTTTACAATGAAGGAGCTGGAAACCAATCTACGAGGCCACAACACGAGGATCCCCAAGGAGCGTGCACATCTCAACATCCACAAGTATAGCTTCACACACCGTGTAGTCAACACCTGGAACAAACTACCGATGTCAGCAGTGAATGCACCAACCATAAACAGATTCAAATCAGAGGTGGATGCCTATCTTTCAACACAGCTCGACAAGTTTAGTTATAGGCCCAGCAGGTGATAATCCTGTTGAGTCTTCCCACAGATCCAACAATGGACCTATTGTATCAAAGAACAAACTCTTTGCAGTGGTGTACAAATAAACTATGGGAGGGCATTACAAGACATTGTCTTACTAGGGAGCCCGAAAAAGACAGGTGAATGAATACAGGTGAATACTCAATACCCACACATAACTGTCCTGGCTGTTTATTAACAACTGCTTTATTGATTTTCAACATTTCAAACACCAGGGGCGGATCCAGCCGGCTGCAGGAGAGGGGGCAAAATTCGTGAGAAAATATTTAGCTGCAAAACAGCTCAGACAATCAATAGATGAATGAAGTAAACCGATGGCGAAGGTAGTCCAAAATTTCTGGGAAGAACACAGAAACACCGTTGCCACCAGTGTCTAATTATTAGGGACTTTTAGATTTGCGTTGACTGATACGTGTGACGCCCATTCAAGGCAGTGCATTAAAAGGACGTCGATCGTAGCAATCCACGTTGTCGTTGTGCAATCTAAAAGTCCCTAGTATAGGCTGCTATGCAGCATCATACTGATTATTCTTAAGCAAACTATATTGAAATGAAAGACATCATAAACCAATAGCAAAATAGGATTTGATAGTAAGACTGAATTTTCATAAGGAAAAGGAGAAGAGAACCAATGATAAGTAAGAAGTGGAAATACCTGAAGCATTGACACAAGATTCATGAATAAAGAATGAGAATTAGAGAACAAAGGAACATAGTCTACCACCCGTTTGAAGACTTGGTATGTGGAGGAGATGAATGGAGGAAGTGAATATGTAAATGATGTGACATGATACGTATAGAGAGAGAAGAGACTAGAGAATAAAAGTATATGGGATTAACAGGATGAGTCTAATTTTAACTCTTACACAAATACACCTGCCGTCTCAGCAAGTATACAGCGCTAGAGGTCAGTCAATACGCATTAGCATTAACCTCTAGCGCTGTATATTAAACTAACTGTTCTGTTCTATAGACACAGTATTGATTCTCAACATTTCAAACACCACTGAAACTGTAGTTTGTACAAAATTCAACTAAATCTAGATCTAGATGGGCAAGAAATATTGCCGCCATTATATGACCACGAAAGATACAACAACCCCCTACCTGTTGTAAATATTGTTGTAAATACCATGCAAGATAAGATAAGATAAAAGATACAACAATTTTCAGAATACTAATTACCTCGTCATATTATCTCTTGTGCGCATATGCAAATGAGGATTAAATAGACCTAAGCGCCATTTTACTTGTAATGAGCACAATACACCAGTTTACGGTTAGGGGCGCCATTTTAATTGGCGAGTAAGGAAAGCCAATGACGCAGAGGTCATGTATTTATGCGTAAATTAAGATTGCGCCCATGCAAATTATGACATCACTGCCTGCGCGCTGCGTTGTGCGCGCATATCATCATTTGCATGGGCGCAATCTTAATTCACGCATAAATACCACTGACCTCAGGTCATTGGCTTTGTTTCAAAGTCAATTAAAATGGCGCCCATGTCTGCGAAAGTGCACTGATGTAACCGTAAACTGGTGTATTACAAGCACACCAAAGTTTGAACAAAGGCGCGACCAAACAGATGAGAGAAAAGATACAACAAAAGTTACAATGTTCAGAATAGATCTACCAACTTTAATCTTAATCTTCAAAGATACAACAATATTAGAGATAACACAGGGTTCAGGATATCGCCCCATGTCATTAGACAATTACGACTAGACTACTCTCTAGACAGGCCATTAGCCTAATAAAATCAAAAAGGAAAAAAAACAAATTATAAACTTATTAGACTCTAGATCTAAGACTTAACCAGATCCAGACTCATGCATTAATTGATTCTATTAGTATTAGAGTCTACACAGTTGCTTGTAAATGTAAGCTACGTGTAGATCTAACTGTTAGATTGGATTATAAATTTACCAGCTAAATGAGTTAGACCTTGTAATTTGTTGAGTCTGAGAAACTGTCAAGTTGAAAAATCTTGAGTCTGCAACTCTGCATAGATCTAGACCCCTCAGGCGCAGGCCTAAGATAAAACAAAACTTAAAACTGCACACGCGGGACTTAAACTAGAATCTAGACCTAGATCTAGTCACTGACTATTTCGGCAAGGCAACCCTCCGTCCATCACGCAAAAATAAACCAAGACGAGACTAATGTGGTGGAAGGAGTTCGTAGAAAACCTTTTACCTTTTATGACAGTATTGTTATGCAAATCCATGCTGCACCCTTTAAGATCAAACTTCAAAGTTTCTTGAACTTTTTTCTTCTTCCTTCTTATTTATGTTTTCGCGCGAAGTGTGACGTCATGATGAGGAAGCCAGTGCACAGTGCACGTACGTGCAATGCATCCATCCAGTGACCGAATCTCTTATTGGTCGCTAACTACAAAAGATCGAGAATCACAAGCACCCTGAGAATATGGCAGCCCTCTTCAGTCTCAAATGTGGAACTAGGAGACTGTTCAATATTTGTAATACGTGTACAACAAGGTAAATATACCAAGATTTATGAAGGCATAGTCTATAATGGCCAATTATGTCACGAGATACAGTGTCCTGAAAGAGAGAATGAAACAATTTAGCAATAACATGAGATCGAGACTCCCGATCGCGACTTTGCGTTGATCAGCGTTATCAATATCAGGGAATTGTGTTCGCCAGGCTTTCCCGGGGGTGGCAACCTAGTGGAGCCTGGAGGGCAGAGGGTAGTGAGATATACATATCATTACAGCTCTTTACTCAGAGCTGCCCATTTACTAATACCTGTATTACTGTAATAATTTATTTCATATTCTGGGAAGTGATTAAGTGTAGATATGATTCCATAGCAAAATTGGGGGTATGGATTATGGCTAAACTGTAAACATTGTAGGAATCATTGTTGGTTAGGCCTAACTTGTTAGACAGCTATGTCACTAAACTATGTGAAGAAGACCTAAATTTGTTTGAATGGGATACCTGCCCATGCAGGGTACCTGGGAGCAGCACGCGTACCCCTAAATTACCATACTGTTCCAATAAATCTCATATTCCTGGTGCAAAGGGGATGGGAGCTAGGTCCCTTATATAGGCTCCTAATTTCATAGGCTCAAGTGAGTGTAAGGTCCATGGACCATGGACCTCTTGTTGAATGAGCTCTTGTTGAATGACAAGATCGTAAACTAGTTCTTCTTCTTTTTTGGTTAATTATTTCTTTTTCTTCTCAGATTACATGCACCAGTTTAAAGAGGCAAATCCAGAACACTGCATGTATGATGTCTTTCTCTGATGCTGAATTCACTGCAGCTAAGGATAGACTCAACTCTTTGAAAGAAGATCCAGGTAATGAGGTCAAGCTTCAGATATACGCTCTCTTTAAACAGGTGATTATAAATTCATACTGACTTTGTTCTATAGACCCTACACTTCTTAGATTATTCTATACTCTACATAACTTTGTATTGTATGTGTATACCTGTATAGTTTAACAAGTTTAACAAGTTTTTAGTTGAGAACCAGGTTATTGTACACTGAAGTAGTATGAGTAACTAAGAAAGAGGAATTTGAAATGCGTGTGCGCATTGTAGGATGTAACTTTGGGAAAATGGTAGAAAGTGTTAAAAATCTTAAAAACACATTAAAAAAATGCAATTTTTATACAAATAAGTTACCAGTATTGCTTCTATTAATTGTTAAGTGTTTGAGCAATATGTAATGTAAATACATGCTTGAACAATTTTGATGACAAAGGGAAACATTTGCCTTTTAGGTACATTTACATGTATGTGTAGCATATATGTATTCAACCATACATGTACACATGTACATGTTCATCATGTCTATGAGAAAGTTACAGTGGAAGTATCAATGAATATTGCATATGTGATCCTACTCAACAAATTACAAAACCTGCAATGCTATCGCATATCAGATGGCAAAACAAATAATCATATGTATAAAAACTCATGTATCACAGTTTTGGGCTACTGGGCTGTTCCAGAAAATAGATTCTCTATATGCCCAATTTGTCCTGATGCACCGTTGATACACCGGCGCCGGTTTGTAACGCTAACTTCGTTTCCAACTGTAACCCTGAACCAGTACGCTATGTGTAATTGCTACAGTGTAGTGCCACCTCGTGGCGTCTGCTTGGTTGTGGGTTTGTGGTTTGTTGTTTAGCACTTTGGTACTGATCATGTCTGAATAGGAAATTTTAGATTTGCATGACGAGAACGTGGACTGCTACATGTGACATCCTTTTAATGCAATGTGATGTCCTTTTAAGGCACTGGCAGTGCCCGGCAGTGACTTAAAAGGACATCACATTGCCTTTAATATAAAAAGGATGTCACATGTAGCAGTCCACGTTCTCGTCATGCAAATCTAAAAGTCCCTAATAAAGAGCTGAGGTCAACTCAGACTGACGACTGGTCTCATTAATTGCTCTGGAGTCTGGACCCATCACTTTACTAACCCTTTCCCAGTACAACCCAAGCTCTATCCCTAACCATACATCGATCAAAGAATAAAACCATGAGCAAATGTGCTCAGATCACCATTGAATAGACCTACAATGTATGCACATATATTTGTACATTTTCAGGCAACTGCTGGCACGTGCAACACCCCCAAACCAGGAGCATTTGATTTTGTTGGCAAGGCTAAGTGGTCTTCTTGGAATTCTCTAGGCAATATGTCACAGGTAAATATGCTAAAACATCAAAGGAATGATTCAGATTAACAGTATCAGTGATTTTCTATTTTTTAAGAGTTACAGTATGAAGCTTCTCAATGTAAAGCTGAAACATTTGTGACATAAAACTTTTTTATAGATATTTTTCTGAATTGCAAAAATATAGTGTTATGTTGATTGTGAGTGTGTTTTTTGATGCCATGAAACTTTTGCAAATCTAAACCACTCATTAAATTTTTAGGATAATGTCACAAACCACAAGATGTTGAGGAATTTTGTATTCTAAACCATGAAAATATGTTATTTTGTCACTGAACTGAAAATAGATATAATACTTTCTTTCTCTTTGTCAGGACCAAGCAAAAGAAAAATATGTCGGCATTGTCGATGATCTGGTTGCACAAGAAGGTGGTGAAGCAGAGACGGCCTCAACAACCCAAGGATCTCTGTCCTTCACTGGGCTAAAGTACACTGTGGATAATGGGGTAGCAACCATCACTCTAAATAGGCCCAACAAGAAGAATGCTGTAACTACAGAGGTGAGGGTCT